TCCTTCTGCAATTTTGGTGTGGCTGATGCATATTGGTATTGGTCGGGTTTTTAAATCTAGGTAATGAGTAAACTCTAATCACGCTAATATCACACTGAATGATACAAGGAATATTCCCTTAATGTTGTCACGCCATGCGAAGGGAGAACATGCGGAGGAAGTGAAGGTGAAAATATAACTATCAGATAGAAGCTGATATGGGCATCAAAAATAGAAACGTATAGGGACAATTTGCAATTATTTGTAAATTTGAGAAATGCACGAGCTTTTATAGAATAAGCATGGGTGTGAAGAAGGGAAGAACTAAGTACAACAATAGTGATCTGTCCTAATGGCAACTTCCTGATTTACCAGGAATTAATCTAATTTTCTTCATGACCCCGCTCATGCGCAACAGCCTAAATAAAAACTGCCCAAATCTCCGCCGTATGGCAATCATGCTTGCCATGCATTTGTGCTCCAGTTCATATTCAAATTGACATCGTCTTGACCACCAGGAATTAATGTGCCTCACTTTTATAACTAGCTACAAATGTCTTCCAAGTCACAACTAATCCGCTAGCTTTGCACGAAAAACTCTCGATCGCAAGGGAAAAGACAAGAGCATAATCTTTTAACAATAGGGATCGGTTTAGTTATACCTCCGTCGACGCTGGTGGATTAATAATAGCCGGTTTGTTTTTCTTCCTAAAGATATGAACCTCGTCTTTCTGCTTTCCGCAACGAGCCTTCACCATGGCTTCATATTCATCGACGTGGCCGGTGTCGGCATCTTCGGCCTTTAAAGTTATGTAAAAGTTGGCGGGGCAAGCAGGCTGCAAATTACACTTGATGACTTCTTTAAGCCGGAGTTGATTGCCACCCTGTGAGAATAGTAATAAGTTTGTAATGACGATGTTCTTTAATTAGCGGAGGAGGAGGAAGGAGAAGAAGAAGAAGCAGACCTCTTTCTTTCTCTTCTCGTTTTGGTCCTCGATGGCAATCTCGGCGTATTCACGAATATCCTCAGCGGGCCAACCGCTGTCAGCCGGTTGGATGATACCGATAGCGAAAACATTGGGTAACAGAGGAACATCAAATCCCTAGGTGGGGGGGGAAACATTGGGTAACGGAGGAACATCAAATCCCTAGTTAGGGGGGAAAGAAATGATTGAGAAAGATGAAGAACGGTAAATTAAAATAATTAAAACACAAATAATTAATGAATTATTTTAGGGTTAGCGGCCGGGGGGCTTTACATCGCTCCGACGAACAGCTTCCGCGTACATGGCCCGCTCTTGGTCGGTCATCTCGTGGAGACCATCCCCGTAAGAATCGTCATCATCTTCCTCCGACTCCTCTGACGTCGACTCCTCTGACGTCGACTCCGGCTTCTTCGCCGGAGACTCATCCACTTCATACCACGACGTCAACATCCTCTAACCAAACCCTAACAACCCCAATTCGATCTCTCCCTCTCCCCCCTCTGCTATGGATCCCATCACGGCCGTTGCTTTGCTTTTATAAACAATCAATCCTCCTGCTCCTGTGTTTTGGGCAGCTTTTACACATTAGTCCCCCGCAGTTGCGAAAATTTCCATAACAAACCTCTACACGCCCAACCCTAAGCGCCTATCTGAGTCATTTGGGGACCATCTCCGACCCTTATTAGGATTTGAGAGATTATTGAGCAATTTTAGAGATTTAATATCTTTAAAAAAAAAATCTTTATTTGAGATACAGAAGAATAGGTTGTTCTCTTTTTAAAATTGCGTTGACCGAGAGAAGTTGAAGCTGCATAGATTATTTGCATTGTCCCTACTATCACCAACCGGGGAGAAAATATACAGTGGGTGTGCAGTAATAATTCCATATTGATCCGAATCAATCCATATGCTCTCATTTTTAATAAGATTCCAGCTAGAAGCATACATGTAAAATAGAATGTCATTTCTAATGCCACAGGATATATATCCTGATGAGCTAATCTTTCAAAATCCAATGTTGCTTCACTAGAACCATATAAACCCACACCTAGAAGTAGAACCCCTATTAAGAGAAAAATGGAACCCCCGCAGTGTGCAAAATAAACTTTGTAGCCGAGTACAAACGTTTCTTTCCGCCCCACATGGATAAAAGTAAGTAAACAGGAATTAATTCTAACTCCCACATAAGGAAAAAAAGTAAAAGGTCTCGAGAAGAAAATAATCCTATTTGACCACTGTACATTGCTAACATCAGGAAATAGAATAATCGCGAATTTCGAGTAACAGGCCAAGCTGCTAAAGTAGCTAAAGTAGTGATAAATCCTGTCAGTAAAATGGGTCCCATGGAAAGCCCATCGATTCCCAGTCTCCAGTGAAAATCAAAAATATTTATCCATTTAAAATCCTCCTCCAATTGAATTAATGGATCGTCCAATTGGAAATGATATCAAACCCCCCCCCCCCCCACCCACACACACACACACTCACACACATGGATAAAAGTAAGTAAACAGGAATTAATTCTAACTCCCACATAAGGAAAAAAAGTAAAGGGACTCGAGAAAATAATCCTATTTAACCATTGTACATTGCTAAGTAAATAGAATAATCGCGAATTTCGAGTAACAGGTCCCATGGAAAGTCCATCGATTCCCGTCTCCAGTGAAAATAAAAAAAAATTATCCATTTAAAATCCTCCTCCAATTGAATTATTTGTAGGATGTCTAAAAAAAACTGTAGATAGCCGATCCCCATAAAGAACTGATGAAGGAAGCTACAATTTGACGACTTCCATATCAACATACATAGGCTATAATCTGGCGACTTCCACATCAACATACAGAGGTTATAATCTGATGAAAGTCCCGATCTGTCGATTTTCGCGACAACATATAAGAGTTACAAATTGACAACTTTCACATTTCAAAGAGCCGAAAGCAAAAATTACAAGATGATGATCTTTACAGGACTTGAAAAAGATATTACAAATTGGCCATCTTTTCAAATCAAAACGTGGAGCTCACCCCCGCGTTTCACTCTCAAAACGTGGGGCTCACCCCCGTGTTTCACTCTTAAAACATGGGGCTCACTGACCCCGCGTTCCAACTCTTAACGCGAAGCTCACCTCCGCGTTTCATAAGTTAGACGCAGAGGTCGTTTCCAAAATGCGAACCTCGTGTTTGGCTCATTCAAACACGTTTTAAACAGTTTCAAAACCATTTTGCACGTAATAAGAGCATTAAACCATCATTATGGAGTGATTTAAGGGGTCAGTTACACCTCTTAGACCCTATAAATTTAGACTCTAAATTCCATCCTATTTTTATATTAGGCCTCCAAATCTTCACCATTTTCCTGGAATCTATTAAGTTGTTTCACATAGCATCTTGTTTTAAACAAATATGAAATGGGGTGTTATTTCAAACAACTTAATTGTAAAAACACACTCAAGTCTCTATAAATTTAGACTCTAAATTCCATCCTATTTTTCATCCCTTCAGCATTCAACATAGCTAGACACGATTATCTTTCTTAAATAGTCTGACAATATAAAAGAGTTCCAGCATAAAATCCACAGGAGAAGGTCCTGAATTCACCACAAGCCTTCATTTAAAAGATAACATGCCACAGATACAATATAACCAGATTGTCCAATAAGCCAAAATAAGATATCAACGTGAACCTACTAAAAGAAACCATAACTCAGAATCCCCTTTCTCGTCCTTCACAGTCTCCTCCTTCTTGTCTCCCCTCGGTCCCAATTTCTGGACTCACAAATTTTGCTTGGGTCCTCAACTGCACAATCTGAGTCACTTGGTCCATGCTGCAAAATATGATTTAACATGCATCAATAAGATTGTAGAAATAGAAATTGAGCATTTAAACTATAACATATTCACCACAATTCAAACATCACTTAAAGAAACAATGGTTACAACTCAAGTATGGGTCCATAACTAGTGTTTTTCCATGCTATAAGAGCTTTTATTGCTCAAATATATATTGGAAAAAGAATTAACATTTTGAAATGAAAATTATTTGACTTTTCCCCAACTAAGAAAATCAAATTAAATTAAACCTTTGACTAACATAACAAGCCTTGGCATAACAAATCTTGGCAATAGCATTTTGTTCAAAACTCTACAGCCAGAAAACTAACAAAAATTAAATACACAGTCAATCTTCATAAGCACATCTCCATAACAAACCTACCCAAATAAATCAGTCAAAAAAGGAAAACAAATTGTTGTAGGAAACCTTTAAAAAACGAATCCATCAGAGAAAAAGTCAATGTTATTGAGTCAAAGGCAGAATATCTAAAGCAATGACACAGATAGAACAAATTTAACAAAAATAAATGGGTAACCTTTCAAAGAAAGATACTAGAGAGAAAGAGAATCGAGTGGCTGGATTTTTGAAGAATGTGGTCTCGTCGAAGTTCGGCCACCAGCGCCTTTAAAGCTTGATGTCGTCAGCATTGTCTCTTGAGGCTGTTAGAGCAAGTGCAGCAAGCTCCCAGTTGGGAGTCCTAGTCAGCATGCTCTCAAGAGCTCTCAACCTTTTCAAAATAAAAAATTAACAAATTATACCTTGGGAGGCATTCCTTATTTTATGGAGCTCCAACAAGCTCCTAGTTAGGAGCTCCAACAATATCAAAAAAACCCCTCTTCTATTTTAATATTTCACCCATTACTTTTAATTATATTTAAACCTATTGTATTTTATTTCTAACCGTTGTACACGGTCTTCGAGGCAACCCACGGTCTTCGAGGGAGCGCACACGGTCTTCGAGGTAACCCGCGGCTTTTGAGGGAACGCACACGGTCTTCGAGGCAACCCACGGTCTTCGAGGGAGCGCACACGGTCTTCGAGGTAACCCACGGCTTTTGAGGGAACACACACGGTCTTCGATGTAACCCGCGGTTTTCGATGTTGGGCACGAAGTTCGAGGTATTGCAAACTTTGACCGTCATCCGACTGAGGCCTATAAAATTCGACGGCTTCTCTCCTCAACCCATCATCTCCCAGAATAAAATGTCTAGCTCATCTAGCTCTAGCGATGATGAAATGATGAAGAAGTTCTTTCTTATGGGAGCTGTTGTCGTTGAGGAAGAAGAACAAGAGAAATGTTCAACTTCAGTTCAACACAAACGACGTATCGTGCTCCATCGAAACCGACTGGAAGGCCACAATCGGTTATTCCAAGATTATTTTGCTGACGCACCAACCTATCCTCTTTATTATTTTCGTCAAAGGTTCAGAATGAGGCGTTCGTTATTCCTTCGAATCCACGACGCAGTCGTCGAACATGACAAGTACTTCGTCCAAAAGAGGAATGGTGCTGGACAGTTAGGACTATCTAGTCTTCAAAAGATTACTGCAGCTATGCGGATGCTCGCATATGGAGCATCCGCTGACTCCGTTGACGACTACGTTCGGATCGGTAAAAGTACGTCGCTTGAGAGCGTGAAGAGGTTCGTTCGATCGATTATCAACATCTTTGGAGAGGAATACCTTCGTGCACCGACTAATGAAGACGTTGCACGCCTGCTCGAGGAAGGCTCACAACGAGGTTTTCCTGGTATGCTTGGGAGCATCGACTGCATGCACTGGACATGGAAGAACTGTCCAACTGCCTGGCAAGGTATGTATACTGGACATTTTCATGAACCCACAATTATTTTGGAGGCCGTAGCTAGCAAAGATCTTTGGATATGGCATGCCTTCTTTGGACTGCCGGGGTCTCACAATGACCTCAATGTTTGCTCAACAACAAGAAAGCGCAAGAAAAGATGTTGAGCGAGCTTTTGGCGTGTTGCAAGCTCGATTTGCGATTGTTCGTGGACCAGGACGTTTCTGGCAACCTTGTGTGCTGAAAGATATCATGACAGCTTGTATCATAATGCATAACATGATCGTTGAAGATGAACGTGATTGTCAATTGGACAACAACTTCGACTTTACTGATTCGGTACCAGTCGTTGAACCTTCTCATGTGCAGACGGTGCCTCTAACTGAGTTCATCCAAAATCATCATCGGATCAGGAACACGCAAACACACAAATCACTAAAGAATAATCTGATCGTGCATCTGTGGCAGCTCAAGGGGTCCATCGCCGAGGATTAAGTTTCTTTATGTCTAATGTAATTTCAGAAAAGGAGTTCAAGTTGTTGTACTACGCCAATTTCATTTTTAATAAAGTAGTTGTTTTCATTCAATGCCAAAATTTTCAACTTCAAGTACAATCATAAATCTAATATAAGATACTAATTGATAATTAGGAAGAACTAATGAGGATGCGATGCGAGTACAATATATGATAATTAGGAAGAACCCTTGGACATCCACCTCTCCAATATCTCTGCCTGACGCATTTCAAAGTATTGTCGTTGAACTGAATTGAGTGTTGAGAGATCGATCTTCATGATATCGTCATCTTGTTTCTTCTGTTTTAGCTCCATTTTTTCTTTGTTGGTTTGCTTCATCCACGCGAATGCCTCTCCCATGATGGACGTAGCGGATCCAGAGTTTTCCACATTTTGTTTCCTCTTGAGCTTTGCCGCTTTCCTCCCTTCAGGCCTTACTACCACATCATCCGAGTCAATGTTCAACCCGATGGGGGTCGTTGGCATGGAATTGTTTGGTGAGGAATCAGAGTTCGTGGTTCTTCTCGGCTGTGATCGAATCTTATTGTAAGTTTCCATTTGTTGGTTCCATTTTTGGTGATGACGCAACTCAACCCAGCAATGGTCAAACACGAATGGCTTACCATAAAGGGATTGGTATAATTCTTTTACTTCTGCAGTCTACACAAGAGTTAAATTTAGAATAATCAAACATATAAGTTAAATATTTACATAAAAACATATAAGTTAAATATTTACCTGGTCAATAATTCCCGTACCAGATCTTTGTCTTCCTTCAATCTGAGCAACGCACCCGCAGAACTTGTTGACCGACAGTTGAATCGTTGACCAACGGTGCATCATTTGGTTTGGTGTGCGACTCGTTGGATAGTCGTTAGCTCGGTGCCAAAACTTATCTTTGTGTTGCCCCGTACCTTGGATGGCGTCTTGGCTCGTGTTCAGCCAAGCAGACACAAGAAGCTTATCCTCGTGGACAGTCCAATTTTCGGACCGCGTGTAAGTCTTCTTCTTCTTTGTGGTCGGTGTTTCTTGGGATGACACTTGTTGTGTTGCGGATTGCGATAACTCGATGGGATGACCTTCTTCTACGACTTCTGTATAGAACGGCGAGTATAAGGTCGATCCTTCACCGGTAAGGAGATGCGAATAGTAGTTGTTTTGGGAGGGATCCATGAGATTTGTAATTTGATAGGAAAATATAGAATTTTTTTTATGAGAGAGTTGTGTGGATTGTGAATTGTGGATTGTGAATTGTGAATTGTGAATTTATAGAGGTTTTTTTTACTGTTCAACAGTAAGAAAATGGAGCTCATAGCTCAACGGTAATAATTTTTCATCTCAACGTTTCATTTTTTACACAACGATACATTTTTCCACTCAAAACGGCCACATTTTTCTTACCAACGTTCATTTTTTCACTCAGTCCAACGAATGAAACACAATAAAAAAAAATTCTTCGTCAAAACCTCGTCTTCTCCCCAACCAAAACCTCTTCATTTTCCCCCAAATCCCAACCCCAAATCCCCAAATCCCAACCCCAGTCGGAGGCCTCATCTTCTCCCCCAGTCGGAGGCCTCAAACAACCTCGTCTTCTTCCCAGTCGGAGGCCTCATCTCCGCGAACACCAAGCTCCTGAAATCATCCACCTGTTTCCCCTCCTCTTCCACATCTCCGGCGCCTCATCTCCCGTTTGGATTTTTCTGCTTCTTTTTGGCAGATGTGCGAAGGTGTATTGTTGGGGGGGGGGGTTGTTAAAATCCGGCAGCTTGGGAGCTCCCAAGCGCTCCACAAATTTGTGGAGCGCTTGGGAGCTCGGAACACGTCCACCTCCACGTCATCGATTGAGAGCAGGTTGGGAGAGCTTCGGAGGCCGTTGGAGGGGGCTAACCCGGAGGAGGTGTCCACGTCGGAGCTGAGAGCAGGCTTCGGAGCTTGCTGCCCATGCTCTTAGGGTCTTATGAGGTTACGGCCAAGACTAAGGGTGAGCAAAGTTTGGCTTAAACTGAATAAACAAATGGACCAAACTTATTTGCACAAGATAAAATACTTCAAACTAAAATCCATATCTATTCCTGTTGATCGGGGAAAAAATCCACGCCTATTCCTAATCGTTATGCAGATGTTATTATAGTAGTTTATCTCATAAATAAATTGAGGTCATCTTTTTTTATCAATGATTCAACATGAATTTGGCTCGATGACTTCAGTTCATAACTTGTGCAACCTCTTGAAGTGGTTAGGGTTGGAACCAAGTGTAAACCATTACATGAATTAGCAATTGAACGCAATAGCAAAAAGTTCAAGTCTAAGGGTCCTGGTAAACACTTTAACCATTGTATTCACTTCAGACTACATTCCCAAAATTAAGCAATACAAATAGAACCTTCCAATATAAATAACACTTCACGTCATGGATATTTATATTGATTTTAGTCCAAAACCAAATGAACCAAACCGGATTAACCAAAAGTATTTAGGTCAGATCGGTTCACTTCGAATCATAATCAGTTCGCTTTCGTTTTGTCAAAATTTTGTACAAAGGGATGGGTTTGATCATACCTCTGTGGACGCTGGCGGATTAATAATAGCCGGTTTGTTTTTTCTTCCTAAAGATATGAACCTCGTCTTTCTGCTTTCCTGCAACGAGCCATCACCAAGGCTTCGTATTCATCGACCTCGCGGGTGTCGACATCTTCGGCCTCTAAAGTTATGTAAAGGTCGGCGGGGCAAGCAACCCGCAAATTACACTTGATGACCTCCTTGAGACGGAGTTGATTGCCACCCTGTGAGAATAGTAATAAGTTTGTAATGACGATGTTCTAAAGCGGAGGAGGAAGAAGAAGAAGAAGAAGCAGACCTCTGTCTTTCTCTTCTCGTTTTGGTCCTCGATGGCAATCAGGGCGTATCGACGAATAAACTCAGCGGCGAAATTCCTGCCAGCCGGTTGGATGAGACCGATAGCGAAAACATCGGGCAACGAAGGAACATCAAATCCCTAGCTAGGGGGAAAGAAATGATTGAGAAAGATGAATAATAATAAATTAAAATAATTAAAACACAAACAATGAACTATTTTAGGGTTAGCGGCCGGGGGGCTTTACATCGCTGCGACGAACAGCTGCCGCGTATATGGCCTGCTCTTGGTCGGTCATCTTGTGGAGACCATCCCCGTAAGAATCGTCATTGGGTAACGCAGACGCCGGCTTCTTCGCCGGAGACGCCGGCTTCTTCGCCGTCAACATCCTCTAATAACCCTAACCAAACCCTAACAACCCAATTCGATCTCTCCCTCTTGCCCCTCTCCTATGGATCCCATCACAGCCGTTGCTTTGCTTTTATAAACAATCCCTAACAACCCTAATTCGATCTCTCCCTCTTACCCCCCTCCTATGGATCCTACCACAGCCGTTGCTTTGCTTTTATAGACCATCAGTCCTCCTGCTCCTGTGTTTTGGGCAGATTTTACACATTAGTACCCCGCAGTTGCGGTAATTACACAACGAACCTCTAAAATTTCCTGGAAAGTTCTTCTAATTCAAAAGGGTCTTAACCAAAATGCCCCACGTCGTTTGTTTTCGACAAAATGGAGACTTCTGAGCAAAAACGTAAGCGCGGTCCGTCGGGTTCAAAAAGGTCTTAACCAACTTTTTTCTATTTCTTTTTACCTTTTTAATTATATGGAATTTGTACTTACAATTATATAATTTTTTAAAATTTATTTTTTTAGTAATTTAAACTTATATTGAATTATTTTTAAACTTGTATTAAACTTTTCAGGCCTTCCAAGTAGACAACAACAAGCTTAAATATCACTTCTTTGTTTCTCGATGGACCAAAAGGCCAACTGAATCAAAAACCTATAACCTTTTGGCTTTGTTGGCGGCTAGCTCTAGACCTAAACAGTTAAAAGAGACGTTAGACTAACCAAATAATATATCATGGGCCGAGATGAGTCGGGCGTGGGCCGGGCCTACTTTTCTAGACCCGACCCAACCCGTGACCCGAGCATATCATGGGTCGACCCACGCCCAACCCTAAGCGCCTATCTGCCCAACCCTAAGCGCCTATCTGAGTCATTTAGGGACCATCTTTGACCCTTATTAGGATTTGAGAGATTATTGAGCAATTTTAGAGATTTAGTCTAATCTATATCTATATCTATACTACTTATAAAAGAGAAAACCATTGTCAAAACTTTTGTATACCCAAATTACCCCCTTCAATTTTATAATTCTAATTTTATCCAATCCAATATAACTATTATAATTTATAATAATCTAAAATATACACTTTCCCCTTCTTATCCCCTTCGCCACCGCCTCTTCATCTCTCTTCTTCTGCCGTTTCTCAACACCGACACGACCTCTCCCCTTCCCCTCTCCCTCTCCCTCTCTCTTTGAAAATGCCCAAATCCCTTTATTACCTCCGTTATCCTTGCTTTCCCCTGCCCCTCTCCCTCTCCCCGTCTCTAAATTATTTCGACGTTCAGACTTCCGTCGGTTTCCCTCTACCTCTCACCTGCTCTCCCCTTCCATTTGGTGATTCTATAAATACCTTCCGCTGCAATTTTGATGGAACAACAAAGGGGTTTTCTTCCAATTGTAAGTATGGATATGGATATTGGTTATTCTTATTACCTTTTTGTAATTCTTGTAATTTCCAGTTTGATTTTTTGATTTTTGATGGATTATCTTTATTTGATTGTTGCTGTTAGGTGACCGAGATTTATTGGAGGAGTAGAAAGCTATCAATCAAGGTAAATCAAAATTTAATTTTATTTCTATGATTTCTATGATTTTTCTCTCACAATTCTATCATTTTGTAACATATTTTTTATGATATCTGTTGAATATTATTAAACTGCTATTGCGTTTGGGTTTAACTTCATTTTTTTGAGTTTGACCAACAAAATGGTTAAAAGTTTTAACTGCACGAAGGAAACCATGAAGTGAATGTCAATTATATCATACAAAGGGTTGC